CCTCCTCCGACCCCCCCCCCCCCCCCAGCAGCAGGGAGGCTGGGGAAGGAAAGGAAAGCCGCCCTGCGCCTTCTGGTCAGTTTCACTCCCCCTCCTTTCAGCTGTGAAATGCAGCCGCTGATGGGTGGGGAGTGAAACTGACCAGAAGGGGCAGGGGAGCTTCCCTTTGTTTCCACAGCCTCCCCGCCACTGTGGGGCTATGCTCACTGGGGTGGGGGTATCTGGCATCATCAGGTGGTGGGGCAGGGCTCGTGGGTGGTGGGGCTCCACCCCCAAATGCCCCACCGTGGCTACAGGCCTGGTCTGAACCAAAGAGCTTCTACAGGCGAATCTGCAGATCATCCACTCAGCCACTGATCCATGGTCCCTCTTCTTGAGAATCTCAGAATCATAGAGTTGGAAGGGGCCCTACAGACCATCTAGTCCAACCCCCTGCCCAATGCAGGGCCAGCCTAAAGCATCTCTGACAAATATAATCTAGACCTATTAGATATGAAGCTGCTCCACAGCAATTACAAACCACTGGTGAAGGTCAGTTTTGACGAGCACAGACTCTCCAAGATTTGGCTCAATGGAAGGTCTTTCACTAACTGCGATCCTTCAGCTGAAGGCACTGGGATCAAGACTGGCCTCGTAGCTATGGCTCAAAACATGGCCTCTGTTAAAGCAGTGGCTTACCAAGATTGTGCCAGGGTAACGCTGAGCAAAATCTGAGCCCAGTAGTACTCCAACAACATTTTCCAGGGTATAAGTTTTTGTGAGTCAAAGCTCACTTCATCAGATACCGTATCTGCCAAGTTAGCTTATCCCCTAGAAAAATATGTTGGTCTTTAAGGACTCGAAGAATTTCCTCCTGCGACCACAGACTAATATGGCCACTCACCCAAAACTATCTTCATAACGAATGGTGCTGGCACTGAAATCTAGGCAGGTTTTTTTCTTTTCTTTTGAGGCAGAGACTGTACCTCGCCCAGCAAATTCATTAACTAGAGAGCTCACAGGCTTAAGTAGAATCGCCCTCACTCCAGCAAAAACCTCAGCAATACCTTTTCGACGAGGATGTTTAATTCCTCTTTGGGCAAAAGGCCTACGAAAGGCCCGCTGTCCTGCGTTGTCTCAGCCGTCCAATTGCTGGGGGAGCTGAAAATATTAATTTAATTTAAATATTAAAGACAGTACGTCCTACTAAATATTTCAAAGCATTCTACAACATTTTTTTAAAAATCCTACAATACGCCACAATGCCCAGAATATAAATTTATGTAGAGAGACATATATGAAGTGCTTCCTAACTGCCTTGTTTTCACATGAGATCTGGACTGCCCTTGGTGTATTTTTGAGGGCTATCAGACAAACCAACTAAGCTAGAGCCTCCGCATGCAAACTAGATGTCAGGCCCCGTGAACCCTGAGTCTGGAACCGTTCGAGGAATCAGGTCTCTCTGGGGTGTGATTTTGGCCAGTAGGTGCTGTGGCTAGCCTCAGACACTGCAGCGGAGAGCGGAGGGTTAAATTCACCCTCAAGCCCCCTCCTCCCGGACTCTCCTCTCTCTGGATCCCTGCCTGAGAGTCTCGTGCCCTTCCTCCCCGGCCAGCCTGAAACCTCCTCCTTAAATTAGGCTCCTGAAGGTGGAGCTTCCCCGAGACCACCAATCCACCCTCAAAAGACGTGGTTAGGATGCTTGGGTCGTTATCCAATGGGATGCTCTCCCCAAGGTCCCTCCCCCCAAGTCTACCCTCAGTGCGGGGTGGGGCCACTAATCCTCCCCTCCCAGTTGCTCCCAACCATTGCTGTTCCTTCCCTATACACCCAGGACCGTGAGTCAGGACCGAAGGGTTGGCTGCCCTGGATGCCGTTGCTTGGCACTGCTCCTCCCCTCCTAGCATCATCCTTGCTGGCACGTCACTCCGGGGCTTGGTCTGCAGGCGAACGGCCAGCTCTCTGTATGGGCCATTTCCTGCAGGCTCCCCACCCCTATAGGGTTGCCAAGTGGAACTTACCTTGGCGGCGGGGGACTCCTGGGTGGATCCCAAAGTGCGCACACGTGCACGCGCCGCACACACGTCACCAGGAAGTGACGTTATGACGCCGGGCACGCTGGGGGTGGGGCCACAACCATACAAGGGAAAACCATAGAGTTTTCCCTTGTATGGCCGTGGCCCCGCCCCCAGCGTGCCCAGTGTGCCCGCGTCACTTCCGGGTGACGCGCACGTTGGGGAGGAGTTCCCCCCCCGGGCCCAATCCAGCAGTGCCGGGGAACGGGCCTCTGGGGTGGGGGTTTCCCCACCCCCCGGGGGGGACTTGGGATCCCTACATCCCTACGAGGGACCTCCCTGCTCGGTGCCGTCTCCAGTGGGCTGGGTCTTGCCTCCTCCATGGCTTCCCCGCCCCACCAAGGGACCTTCCTGCTGGGCATCATTGCTGGTGAGCCGGGGGTTGCCCACTTCTCCCAAGCCTCCGGTGCCGGCCCACCGCGTTCTCCCCATGCGGCCACACTCTTCCTTTTGCTTGTGGCCTCAGAGGGCCTGAGAATGAACCCCGCTGCCACCCCTGGAGGTGACTCTGGGGGAGTTGGGGGGCCGCGACCAGGGGTGGAAGTGCCGACCCCAGACACTAGATTAAGATGTGTCCAACTGTGCATTCTTTTGGACTCGGAGTGACAGCAGAAGTACACACTGCACAGCTTGCTCACAAAATGATCTCCCCGGGGATCAAACTTGGGGGAAATGAGTTGTGTGTTTTTGGGGGCATTGAGCCAATTGGCTGGAGATTTGTGATGTTATGAACGTGTGTCCCCCGCAGCAGTTTTTCAGCTCTTTTAAAAACCTGTGTTTTGGGGTGCGCGTGTTTAAAGAAGGTGCCAAACAGATATTACATTGGATAAAACTTAGGCTTGCCAGCTCCTTCCAAGTCCTCGGTGGGTGATTTCAGAGGCCCTATTGGAGGGGGCGGGGATCTCTGCAACGTGATGATGTCACGCAGAAGTGATGTCATCATGTTGGGGACTGCCCCCCCCCCACTTCTTGCCAAAAACATTTAAAGGGACCCTTTTGGCAAGAGGTGCCCCCCCCCCCCACATGTGCCTGCACTCCAAGCTGCAAATTCACGTCTTGGAATGTAGGCGCGCAGCCCCCGCCTCTTCCCAACAGCATTTAAAGCATGCCTTTATATGCCATTGAGAAGAGATGGGGAGGGGAGGACACGCATGCCACAAATTCGCGGCTTGGAGTGCAGGCGCGCATGGCCAGCCCTCTTCCTCCCTCCCTCCTGCAAGATTCAAAGGGCCAGCTGGAGGTCCCTTTAAATCTTGCAGTAGTGGTGGCTGGGTGGGCGCTCTTGGGGGCGGGGCCTTCCCCCCCACTGGCCAGCTGGCTGGTGGCAGGAAGGAGGCCCCCAAATCGGGGGGAACCCAGCTGGGACCGGGGCTCTGGCAACAAACAGCACTTTTTAAAATGTAAAGCCCTAGACTATCCACCTGGGGAGATGCAAGACTCAATCATAGTTTTGCTGTACTAATAGACACGGCAGCAAACTTAAACAGCTCAGCAGTAGGGTGGCTTCTTGACTTAGACTTCGATACTGTTGATGATACAACGGCAGGGTTTTTAGATCTCAAAAGATGCTCTCCGTAGGGTCCAATCCGTTCCGAATGGAAGACTGCAGAACCCAGTTTTATACCCCACTTTTATCCCCAGCAGGGACCCAAAGTGACTTACAGCATTCTCCCCTCCTCCTTTTTCTCCTCACAACAACCTTGTGAGGTAGGATAGCCTAAGAGAGTGTGTGACTGGCCCAAAGTCACTCAGCACACTTCCAGGGCAGAGCAGGGAACTGAACCTGGGTCTCCCAGATTCTAGTCTGATGCTCAAACCACTACACTATGCTCAGTTTTGTCACTGTGATACTATCACCCTGATTTGTGGTTCTTCCTTGCACTGGAGAGCCTTGAGCTCAGCAGGCCAACATTTGCTGGTTTTCCCCGGTCCAAGGGACATCCACTTAGCCTTGACTAGGGCCAGGGCTTTTTCTGCCCCGGCCCCGGCCGGGTGGAGCGTGCTCCCACTGGAGATCAGGGCCCTGAAGGACCTATTACAATTCCGCAGGGCCTGTAAAACTAAGCTGTTCTGCCAGGCCTTTGGGTGAGGTAGCAGGCATCCAAGTATTCCACCTACTGGCCTCCCTGGCTGAATCTTTCATCTTTGTACGGCCCATCAGGGGAAGACCCAGAGTCCAGTTTATGGCCTAGCGGCTCCAGTTCTTGACACTATTGTACTGAATCGCAGTGCTGTCTGTCTTTGGCTTACAGTTTTTGTTTTTAACTGTTTTAACTATTTATTGTGTAATGTTTTAATTCCTGTTGTGGATTTGTTGTTGCGATCTGCTCTGAGCCCACTCGCAGGGAGGGCAGAATACAAGCCGAAATTAATTAATAAATAATAAACAGGGGTCATTTCGTAGAAAAAGAGCTAGGGGAACTCATTAGCATATGCCACACCCCCTGACATCAGGGGCCCGGCGGTGGACCTGCAAGGCCAGCGGGAGTGCGAGGAAGCCCCGCCAAGGGCCTCCCTGGCCCCAGGCCAGGTGGGGAGAGGCGGGGAGGAAGCAACTTACCCTCCCTCTTCTCCTGCCTCCTCCTGGCTGAATGAGGGCTGGAAGCGGGGCAGCCGGAAGCAGGGGGCGGGGCTTCATCATATGCCCCGCCCCCTGCACCTCACCCGGGGGAACTGTGTTCCCCCGGGTTCCCCCCCGAAATGACCTCTGATAATAAATAATGTTCTTATTACTTATATTGTTGATTGTAATGACTGACTCTGTGTAATCTGCTGTCTTGAGTCCCGGTGAAAAAGGTGGATTATAAATAACACGTGTTTGTGTGTTTGTGTGCGTGTGTGTGTTTATCGCTTACCCGTATATCTCAATCAGTCTGTGTTTAATTTCCATCTTTTGCTCATGATTAAGATGCTGGCAGTGCCTGAACTGGTGAAGAGCTGTCGTCATAGTTTCCAGTGAGATTCCATCACAAATGAACGCTGGCGGTAAATGGCAGATGAGATTTCCCAGAAAGTCGATGTCGTATTCGTCAACCAGGGAACCATTCTGAAATAACGATGACACGGATGAGGTGTATTTTATCGGGTCACAAATTGCTGTCGAAACAAAGGCCTTTAATGGCCCTTCAGCGCTGATATTGGGGTAAACTCATATGTACATAAACGTTTACCCCAACAAGGCAAACAGCTGATCTCTGGTATTTTTTTAGTTTGGGAAAATGCCACAGGGAGAAGGCTTAAACCAGGGGTGTCGAACTCATTTGTTAGGAAGGCCGCATCTGACATAAATGAGACCTTGTTGGGCCGGGCCTTGTGTGTCATAAAATGTAATGCCAGGTAGCGGAGATATAAACTTTATAAAGGACACAAACACAAAGGATTTTCCCCCCCTTAAAATAAAAACATGCTTAAAACATAAGCTCTGTAAGCCGCAAACCTACTTTTGATTTATTGACGTCCACCACAGAAATCTCATGCTCAGAGTTCTGAGTCTAGGACCCAGGTTAAAACATGAGATGGCTGAGTGATTAAGAGAGTCTGGCGAAACAAGCTGTGATGCAGCAGCAGAACTGGAAGCAGGAGATGGCCAGTTCCACTGCGGGCTTGATGGAAGCCCTCCGGGGGGCTGATTTGGCCCCCGGGCCAGATGTTTGACACCCCTGTCTTAAACCCTTCCTCTCCTTGTCCCAGGTGGGTGGGTGGGGCTCCCAGGTGGGTGGGTGGGGCTCCCACGTGCCTGATCGTTGAGTTTCAAAATATGGAACTCCCAATGCATGTCTGGTTTGGATTGAGTCTCTTTTAAACCACTCATTCTCCCCCACCCTTCCAGGAATATAGATCAGCTTC